TTCTATATACGGTTTAGGATTATATCCTCGCTAGGTGCTTTATTAGGCGGTGTTCTCTTAATAGCGTCCTTAACCTCCTATTAGGTAATAATAGGGAAGTCTAGCTATTTCGGTAAGTATATATTAGGGATATTAGAGAGGTCGGCCTCCGGTAGCTAAGGAAAGAACGCCTAGCGGAGGGTCTTTACTTTCTGCTAGTTCGTCTCTACTAGGCTATCTCTCCTATTAAGTGTTAGGACGTTACGGTAGGCCGGCTGGTTACGTATATACGCCTATTTAGAGACCTTCTAGAGACTGCGGGGACTATCTTCTACTATCCGTCTTACCTAGCTACGGAAGCCGTTTCTCAGAGCCCTATTAATTATCTTCCCTTTCTTATTCTTTAGTTCTTTATATTCGTTCCCGTCCTCCTCCGTTACGCTATCCCTCTTATATCGACGGAACGTATAGCGTATCTCCTTAATAGCCTCGGTATACTTAGGGGTCTACTCGGGCTAAGACTATTCGGATAGTCTAGCGAAGGGTATAGACGCCTAGATGCCTTATTAGATAATACGTATAAGGTAGTCGGTAGCGTCGTCGATCTATTACGGGGTTTAGAGGCTATTACTATTACTACTGATTTAATATAGGTTTAGTTCGATAAATTTTAGAAACTTCTCTATATTTATCGCCTTCTAGTTCCTCTACGGGTTTTCCTCGGCTAGGATAGGCGAGATATCTATTATAGTATATATAGGGAGGTGATCCGAGTCGGTATACACTTTCTCTGTTACCGTATAGCTTACTAGGTATATACGTAGGTTAGCCGTAGCTAAAACTAAGTCGATAGTTATTACTAAGTCCTTATCGCGCCTAGTGATTATACCCGGGGGTAGCTACGGATCTAACGCGGCGACGGCTATTAGGTCGAGTAGCTTATCGGCTTTAGGCTCTAGCTATTAGATTCTGTCGCCTCTCTATACCGGGTAGTGTAGGTTATAGTTACCTATAATTAGGTAAGAGACGCTTTTCTGACGTTCTCTGGCTAACGGTATAAGTTCTTTTAATAGATCTAAGGCTCCCTAGCTACCCCTCTTGTTATATAGATTAAATAGCCGAAGCTCTTCGCCGTTGACTAGCGTTATCCGGAGCTCCTATAGGTCACAGGAGTAGATAACGTAGGTATACTCGCCTAGTTTCTTTAATATAAATATATAGATGCGTATACGAGCTACTTCGACGGGTAGGCTTAGGTCTGTCGGGGGTCGGAGGAGGTTATAGGTACGTTAGTAGGGCCGGTGAGTGTTATTTTTGAATTCTGACTTCTACGGCTCTTGGATAGCGATAATATCTACTAAGAGAACCTCCGGGTCTCTTAGAAACTAAGCTATTACCTTATCTTTCTATCGGTTTACGTTATATTAGTATATTTTAAGTTCTCTTAGTATATATTATTGCTGATTATACTAATTTATTAACGTTTAGACGGGGCTAGTTTTTTTAGGGTTTTCTACGCTCCTAGCTTTTCCTTTTAGCGGTTTTTACTATATAGCTTCTTCCGCTTCTTGCTGCTTATCTCTAGTAGCGAGCTAGGTTAATCCGGTAGCGATAGTACCGATAGTAGCGATAATAGTTAGAACTCCTAGTTAGATAGCTATTCCGGTAGGGAAGAGAGGGAGGATATCGACGGTTCGTTAGTATTATATAGTACTAACTAGCCTTTAGGTTCTTATATATCGCCCTCGGCTTCGGATGTTAATTCCGCCCTTCGCCGGTTTACGTCCTCGATTAGTTTCGATATCCTTACTAATCTTTTACTGCTTAAGTTTCCTAACTAGGAGTCCCCGGACCGTTTTCCTCTGCTAATTAATTATGATTTTTTTTCCTCTACGGTCTTTATATAGGTAGTATATATCTTAGCGGTTCGTTCTCTAGCTACTTTAGATTTAGATAATATAGGAGGGAAGGTTCGGTAAAAAACTAGTTAGTGCCGTATAACGCTATCGCTCGGCCTGAATTAGTAGTTATTAAGTGATTTAAGCGAGATTAAGGGGATTATAGGGCGAATCTGTAAGGGTTTAGGTGTAAGTTCCTCTCTAGGTTCTTCCTCTCTAGTCTCTTCTTCCCTAGCCTCTTCTACTCTAGCCTCGCCTACTCTAGCCTTTTCTACCCCTATATTAGTCGAGTTTAATACGGTATAGGCTTCCGTAGCCTTTTCTATTCCTACCTCTATTAAATTTAGCTCGGGGTAGCCTTATATAGGTTTAGAGGTAGGTTCTTCCTCGGCCTTATCTACCTTAGTATCTATCGAATCTAACGGTTTTTATCTTTATTCTATACTATTATTTACCGGAGCCGTTGTCGACTTAGTGTCGGTAGCTATTACCGGCTTACTAGCTATCTTAGTTTTATTCTTTGTAGTCTTAGTGGTTTTGGTAGCCGCCGCTTTAGTAACCGGCGTAGCTACGCTTTAGGCGGATCGAGATAGGATAGGACCGGTATCCTGCGAGCCTCCGTTATTAGGCTATACGGCTAGTATATTGCTACTCGTACCGCTAAGCTCTTCGCTAGATAAGCTTTAGGGGGTTCCCTATAAGCTAACGGAGGAGGGCTGTAGGTTCGCCGGTAGCTATCGGATGCTAAACGGTACGGGGACTAGATAAAATCTTCCCCGGTATTTAGCTCGCTTATTTATCCGCTCGACCTCCTAGATATAAAGCTGATAGTCCTAACTCTATATAGCGTATACGCCTTCGTAGTTAGTATATTTATATTTTTTACGTATATCCTTCGAAGGGTAATCCCGAGATTAATAGCCCTCCGCGTAGTATATATATCTAATAGGTTAGGAATAGGCGGTTCCTATATATCTAAACTTTTGATAGTTAAAACACTAGCGTAGCCGAGACTCTCGATCGTATAAGACCGCTATTAGGTTATTATAGTCCTAGAGGACTCCGTAGCTAATAGCCGTATTTATAGGGACCGGTAAGGTAAACTCGAGGATAAGAGAGCCGCTCTTACCCGACGGGGTCTTAAGCTAGTAGATCTTAGCGATCTCTGTATCTCCCTAGAACTAAATATTCTCCGCTAGTAAATCCTTAATTACCTCCTCCTACGGTAGGTCCTCCGACGCCCGGTTAATTCTTAAAGAGCGTACGTTAACGTTATAAATCACTACTCCCTACGTTAGTAGGTAGACGAAGGTAGTCTTATAGAGCCCTTTAGTCTACTTATTACGGTAAATCCGTAGGATCTCTACCTCCTTCGCGTTATATACAGTAAACCGGATATCCCCCGATTTAAGCTATCGGGACGCTAGGATTATTACCTAGGCGAGGGCGGGTGTCGGATCGCGAAGGGACTATACGGCTTTAGCCCTAGCCTAGTTAGTACGCTTAGTAAGCTCTACTAGCGTTAGACGGCGGAAGACGCCTACTTATACCCAATCTCTAAGGCACACTATAACCTCTCGGTTACGTACGACGTCCGAAGCTCGCGCGGGCGCAGAATCGGACGAGTTAGGGGAGGAGGACTGGTAGTATACGGGCGTAGGCGCTCTTCTAGCCTGTTCAGCGAAGGATCTAACGGTCTGCTTCGCTAGCGGTTCTACTGCCGTCTTGATATCCTATATATCCTTACGGATAGCTACGAGTTTAGCCTACCAGTCCGTCTGTAACGGTATTAATAGGAGGTCCTTAGTAAGCGCCTCTATACGCTTAAGGAAGTCGGCGAGCTTGGAATACTAGGATTCCGGTACCTTTACCCTATTCTACTTACTACGCAGTGCTTTCAACAGTGCTTATACATCATGATTGGCGTTCAGTACGCGCTTACGGTTCGATGGCAGAGATTTCGATGGGCCTCCGGGCGCCCCTGACGGGACAGGCCCAACACCCTTTTGCGCACGCACCACCATGATACTGGCCTGACAGGGTCAATGCCAGTATCAAAGTGTAGCGCAGGGAGTTAGATGAAATTTGCCGTGGTCTGTTACTCGCTAACTGGTCTGGTTCCTGAGATATTTCAAAAGTTCAATTTGGCGCTGGAGTTGTTGTTTTCCCTCAACGGCTGGTGCATCTGGTTGATGACGGCATTGTTCGGCGATCAAGTCGTGAATACAGGCGTTTGATTCTGCTTCTTGGTGCATATTTTTTGTCGTGAGTTCTCGGTATTTCGTGATACTGCCAGATGGCAGGTTCGAGTCAAAGGCGCCTCTCATAGTCCCAACGCAAGTCTTTGTACAAACGCTGGCGCGTGGCTAGACAAGATGGACGACGTATCTGCGACCCCTTTCTCTAATTAACAACGTGCGAAATATAGTAGATATAAAACCATAGAATGGTCTTTTACTATTTACTGGCAGCCTGATTTACATAAATCCATTCCGAGCGGCAGATACGCCCATAGAGGAGTCGGCTCAACGATTCTACTTATGCCTCAAGACGCCTGGATCGGATGACGAGTACACAGCGCAGACCCATTCATCCTTGTAAGCTGAATTATCATCAAGCTAAAGCAAGTAAAACTAATCTATCTGTTTCAACATGTCATACAGCTAGAATGAGAAGATTGCTCCCCTCCTCGAGGGCAGAGCCGCAGACCGCGACTAAGCCTTATTGGGATTTTGCTTGGTGAGTGCCAATGAAATACCCAAATCTATATAGCAGAGTAAGATGCTGGTTAATTTCGTGTATACCTAATATTCTAACCCAGTCTACCTGTCTTAGCTCTGGAAACTTTTATCCTTTCATTTAATACTCATCCCTACGTAGCCTCTCGATTGTGTCTAGTATATGCTTCGTATCTTCGTCCTTACATCTCTCCCCACCCATGAATGCCTGTAGTACAGGGTTGAGACTTTCTAATATTTGAATTACTTTTGGGTTGGCTTCTGTGATGCCAAATGCGAGCGCCTCTAGCATCCCCGATGTAAATGCTGTGGTGTGACTTTATGGATAGCAAGTGACACACCGAGATTAGCCATTTCATTCTGATTATCAATATGCAGTATTTACTTACACAATAGAAGCGATCTTTGGTGAGCAGGCAATGAGTATGCCCATGCCAACGGCGTCGCCTAGCACGAGCCAGCGTTTCCCAAACCGTTTTTTATCGTGGAAGCGACTTCGGAGATGCTTCTTCCGGTCGTTTTCGTCCCAGTCACTGTGCATGTCTTCCAGAATATCATCAATGACGGATGATGTGTCACCTCGGCCCTTGCCTTTGGGCTTCTGCGAGCCAGACATCTTCCACTCTTGGCAGGCTAGGTTGTATGAAGTGTGGAGCATGACCATGGCGACTCTGTTGCGAATCTGGTCATCTGCCATGTGGGTGTCAAGCTTACAAATACACGAGTAGGCGCTATAAAGCTGCTTGCGAGCTGTCCCCTTCAGGCTTGGTTTGGGGAGGCGTCCTTGGAACCAAAAGCCCTCTTGTTTCCAGCGCTCTAGCCTCTCTTCGAGAAAGGGGACAAGGTCGCTGCGCAGAGCGTTTATAGACATATCATACGTTTCGAGCAGCACAGCCTCAGAGAGATTGTATGCTGATCCCTTGCCATAGCGGTGTGTGAGTCTGGTCAGTTCACCAGGCTCGGCAGCATACGATGAATCTATCGGCATAGAGACAGGGGAGCACTGCGCATCGGTGAGTCTTTCGGTTCGATTTTGTTTGGTCTGCGGCTTTCTGAATATTTGTGTGACAGTTTTGCCGCTGCGTCGAGTAGACTTTGCAATTTTAGATGATGCGGTTCGAGCTTTCCGCGCCATTTCCGTTTGTTTTGGCCCCTGAGTGTCGGGCTCCGGTTCTAACGGCGTGCCACAACGTGTCGTCATCGACTCGTCAATCAAACTACTCGAAGCTGAAGAGCATGGAGTCGAGGCAGGCGTGGCGTGGCTTGTGCTGTAACGATGGTCAACATCGTCAAGTTTGTGAATGGAGAAGGAATGACATACTTAGAAGATAAATCTCTGATTAGAAGAGAGGGTGACTGACTTGGGGTGAGGTCGTTGTCTCTCCATAGAACACCATCCCAGTCGTATTCAATTCCCTGCAATGTGGATTCAAGAACTAAGGGGTCGATTCCAATGGTAGAGGTGTCCATTCCTTCGAACAGCGGCTCTTGGCGCACAGAACTGTCATTTTGGTTGGAGTAGCACAGCTCGGCGGCCAGCTCAATTTCACCATACCCTCTGCCAGATTCAATATCTACAGCTGGTGCTAAAGCTCCCAGCTGATTGCAGGTGTTCCACAGTGATGCGACGTCAGTCTCATTGGCGTGCGATGGAGGGAACTCAAACACACGTTCCCCATCGACTGCGCACCCGGAACGAGCTTCAGCTCTGCTGAATATTAATCTGGCATCCCTGCCCCCAGGGTCGGTCGAGGGCACGGCTAACTCTACTGAGATGCCGCAGTCCTGCAGTTTTGTGGAGAGATATTCGATCGCACGGTTGTCGTGGTTGTCAAGATGATACGTCAATAGTTGTGCGAGCTAGATGCAAGACTTTTGTCAGCCGTACTGCTGGTGACACATGCTTTGTTTGTGCTTTTTTTTTCTTGGTTTGTTTTTTGCACTCCAGGAATACATAGAATATACAATGCTCACACCGTCAAACAACCCAACGTGTGTGTGCGACGAATACTTACACTATCCCAATCGCTGAAGCTAGGATCCATTGGTTTAAGGTGACCAAGTCAAGGCTTTCAAAGCAAACGAATTGCGTGCGTCGAAACACATATGACAACATTATCGACGACGAAAGGTATCGCTCTTTTAAGACAGCAGAGATTTCGCTGACGTGGCAAAGGTTTCAACAAGGCTGCGCTACTGCACGTCGCCCATTCCAGCCTCATCGCCCGCTAACAGGGTCGGTCGCCCCCAAGTAGTTACTAGCGTAAACAGTTGCCTCCGGATTGCAAGTTCTTGGACCCTTCTTCCGTCACCAAAGTCCAGGATTTTACTAGGATGTATGTTATACCTCGGAAGGAATTTTCGTCTTCCTTCAGAAAATTTCAGCGGCTAAGATCAAAGCAGCGAACAAAGAAATAATGAACCTAGTGGGAAATTAAATGGCATAGAAGCATACAAGCGAAGGTACGCTATACTTAGTGCGGGCGCTAGTCTGCCAGGGACACCAATCACTGTCAAGCGTCGAAACAAAGGATTTCAACCGGTACGACCGGCACCAACCGGATCATCGCACCGTTTGCCATCGCTTACAGAAGTTCGTTTTTAGCCCCAAATCTCCAATTTCCTGGTCCCGCAGATTACCACCGAACACTACTAGATTCGACATGGTACGAATCAGTACAAGCTTTTTTCTCTTATTTTTAGTATAATTCTACGGAACACCCAGCCCCTGCAAACATGGATCGAGAGGCGGACGCGAAACGTGAAGACGATTAGAGCATGTCTAAACGACAGAGTAGCTCTGCTGCTCAACTCGTGTTAACGGAAACAAATTGATAACACGGACCGTCGCTGGTGGGGTTACAACCCGCACAGCCCATTGAGCTCTGGCAAATCGCCTGCCATCTTTGGCAGCATGGAGCGCCAACCGTGGAACAGGAACTCCGCCCCCACCAAATCGCCACTAGGGCCGGCCGGCAGGGTAGCCTCAGCTTATTGATAACAAGAATAGAGGGCCTCAATTTCCATCTGAGACGGGATTACCCTGCTAGCAGGGATCTTAGCCGAGCCTTGCAAAAGATGTGAATGGGTGGTGGAGTGTGTTATGAAGAGGCCGCCTCGCTGGCAAACCGGGTAGGACGCGTATGCTGTCGTATCTCTCCGGTGTTGTTTATCTAGATGGAGCCGACAGCGCCAGGGGTGCTTGCAAGCATGCATGTGGCAGATCTGCTTGGCGGCCAGACTCGCCCAGGTACTTATTTGTTCAGAGGGGGCTTGAAAACGAGAGTGGTGGTGAGTCGTCAACTACGTTGCTTTGACATCAGCAGCTGTTTTAGCAGCGATTTTGGGCAGTCAAAGTCTGTTTGTGATGTGGTGAGTAACACAATGCCTAATAAAGCAACGTCCGTGCCAGAATCTAGAATCGAGCCGCTAGCTTGGTGCCTCTCCCACAGGGGTTCTCAGCGGAAATGTATACTTGGGGTGTGGAGATGCCCTGCATAGCCCGAGCCTCGAATATAGGCTGCTCGTTTCTTTTTGAATAAGATTTTCCAAATTTTCACGGGCCCTCGCATCGCAGACAAGCCACAAGCCAATATGGCTAGCTATGACAGAGAGTTGTGCCAACGCTCTGCTCCAGCTACTGGAACGATGCAAGTACTGGACAGACGAGAGCAATGCTTCGGGATCAGCTTGGAAAGCTTGACAACAACTGGTGATGTAGCTTGTATTCTTGACACATTCCGGGTAAGTGGCCAGCCGTTTGCCTCAACATGGCTAGAAGCGCCTGCAGCCTGATTTACGGCCTGCAATGAAAAGTCACTCCAAGGTCCTTTTGTCACCCCACACGCTCGTAGTGGGTATTGGGCGCTCTGATCGACGAGGATGGGTTGATTGGGGTCCACCAGGATTTGCCAGCTGAATGACAACTGTGGCTGGCGGCATCTTCTTCGTAATGAGCCGGCTTTCAACAGGGTTCTAGTTTTTACACACTTACTTTGAGGCTGCAGGCTTCATGTCGCCCGACCACCTGCCCTTCTCGGATCTGGCACAGCCCGAATCAATTGCCTGACGGAAGACTTGTTCGTCCTTGGGTTGGACAAGGCATCAGCTCTGCTACAGCCGTATGACAAGCTAACAGGGTGTAACCACCACAGGTCGCGGCCCTGCTCTACTCTAGGCAGACGCTATTGCGCCTACATTGAGTGCTAGAATTGCTCCCCAATCTATGTATTGCCCCGTGGCGTGATGGCAGAGGCACTCGTCTCACAAGGCCACGCCAATTTGTTATCAGGCCCAGCTACCCTACACTGTTTCTTTCTAGCTTCAACACAAATTACCTGGCTATAACACTAGTCCAGGTAAGCAAGGGGAATTGTTTTGTGTTTCTTTTATATATGGCGATGATGATGATGATGATAACTCTATTAACCTAATGCAGCCCAGCTAGTACGCAGTGGCTATGTAGGCGCTTCCTCCGGCGGAAACAAGAGCTAACCGAACGCCCCCGAAACGTAGTAGATAGTAAATATAAAGGGAAAACGGCGTTTTGCCAAATAAATATAGCTGAAAATCAGCCCAATACTGTAACTATACGCCCGCAGCCATCAGATCCCACTGTTTTCCTCCCTCAGTTCGCCCTCATCGCCCTCGCTTTGTATTAACTTCTTCTACCTCCTGACAGTGTGTAGCCGCTTGCTTCTTTCGATTAATGTTTCCTGGCCACGCCAGCTGGTTATATCCGAGTGGAGTTGACCGGTTAGTGTAGCGTGTTTAGTTATAGTCGTCCCAGCCCGTCTTAGGTTAAGCTAGGGTTTAGCGGTTATAGTGTACATCGTCTTCGCCGCCTGTTCCCCTGCTAGATTCGCTGTCTTTGGCTATTATTTCGTCGTCTTCTAGTTCCGGATTAGGGTCAGGATCTAGCGCAGTGTTAGCATCAGCGTTAGCATCCGGCTTAGTATTAGGGTCTAGCTCTAGTTCGATCTCTGTCTATCGGAATTAACCTAGAAGGCCTGTTTATAATATAAATTCGGCTACGTAGCGGGTAGCCTACGGATAAGAGACGATCGCGTCGTAATCAGCGGTCGCTCTAAGATCTATCTGTACCTAGATCTTTTCTAGTATCTCGTAACGCTACTTAGTATACAACGGACACTATATAAGGATATATCTCGGTATTTAAGACCCTTCCTTGTAGTAACACTAATCAGAATCACGAGCGCTGATCTTATATAGGAAATGGTTTAATACGATACGCATTAAGCGTATCTAAATTAACACCGACGTATAGTGCTTAGGCAGAGATTTATATAGCTCTAAGGCTTTCTTATCCGGCTTAGGGAGTAACCGTTTAGTTAGTTTCCCCGTCTTTTTACGGTCCTACTTAGTAGCCTAGCGCTACTTAATTCGCCGCCGTATACGGCCTTTAGCGAGGCTAGCTAGTAAGAGTCGAGGGTAATCGGACGTATATTAATCCGTTCCGCTCTCTATACCTCCCGTCACCGCTAACTTTACCTCAACGTCCGCCGTCTTATTACTAGGCACGCCTACGTATATAGGGATCTAGCGGATCTCGACGGGAATCTTATCGGACGTAGGCGTATACGATCGAAGGGCCCTAACGTAATTATAAATATAGCCGAGCATATATTAGCCCGACGATCGCTTAGGGTTTTACACTGCCTAAATAGCAGCCTAGTAATTAGAGAAAATAACCAACTTTTTGCTAGACTAGAGTTTAGCGATCGCCATCTCGATGCCACTAAGCTTAGCGAGATATACGGTAGATTCTTAGAGAGTCCCTAAGTATCGTCGTAGGAAGATACCGTCCTTTAGGGCGACGGCGGAGGCGCCGACCTATCCCTCGTATCTACTGCTATCCGTAAAGGACAGAACCGTCGGGCTGTAGTTTTATCCTATCGGGCTTCCTCCTCCTTCCTCTTATAGTAAGGTCGTAAGGCTCTCTTAGAAGAGAGACTCTGTCTCGATCCGGTCGTACGAGGCTTGCGTAGCCTCTGTATCTTCGATTACGTATAGGATCCGTACCTCCTATAGTAATAGAACGAACGCTTTATGGGTCTCCTAGACCCCTAGGATATTAAGGATGCCCTTAGGCTTCTATCGGTAGGCTTCTATTGGTCCCTATCTACTAATCTTGGTTTTCTTTAGCGTACGCTTATAATTCCGGCGTAGGCACCCTGGTCGGGCCTATTCTAGCCCTATCTAGATACGGATAGCGGTTTCCTCGATGATTTATTCTATTTAGAGCTTAATAGGTAGCAGAAACAGCTCTATATTAAGCGTAGCTACGCTAGTCGATTTAAATATACTAGAGATTAGGAGGGCGGCGTATCGCTAGATCTTAGTATATTCGTTAGTAATCCTAAGTCGTTCCCCGTATAGTATCGTCCTTACCTTAGGGCAGAACCACGCAGTAACGCCGTATAATATTTAAGGGACTACTACCGCTTAGTAAACCCGACACATAGCGTAGAGGGATATACCCTAAGTAGAGCCGGTGATAGCCCGGAGGGCCTCGAGGCTACCGTTAGCCTTAGCGAGTAGCTTTTATCGATAGATACTAAATAAAAGATACTTATCGAGCTAGATACCGAGGTATTTCGCTTGCTCAACTAGTTAGATCGTTTAGGTAGCGGTTTACACAGCCATCTTATCGTGGCCTACGGGGAACGTATAGGCAATATTATATACGTCGTAGTCGTCATCTCCTAGCTAAACTATCCGGTATTAGTCGGCCGTAGGCTAGTCTTAAATTTATAGGTTTCGAAAGTGGATAAGTTCAAACTTCTCTGGTACAAATTTAGCCGCGTATCGCTCCGCCCAGACGTTAGCTTTATTTAGCGCTCCCTCTAATAGTTACACATTCCGGTAGTAGGATTCAGAGACCGCGATAGTAGCCACATCGTCGACCTATCCGATTCCGCGCACACAGTCATCGTAGCTCGTTCCCTTTATACAGGTAAGGATAAGGGGTATATTAAAAATTAGGAAGATAATAGGTAACAATAGTAATCCCTAGGGGATTCCT